GTTAACATTAATAGTGTCATTAATTCATAATTTTCCTTCTAAAGTGTATTTTAATAGATAACTTGCACTATTTGTCTCTATTGTGTGAGTTATTCCTTAGGTTAGATGAAAAGAAATCAGTTACAAGTATAAAAATAGACAAAGCACAGTTCAGAGAAGTAAACAAAATTTCTCCAAAAGAATCAATAGCAAAAATAGGAACAGAACTTAGAGCTCATATCTCTCTCCAGTAAACATTATACAAAATGCCATCTCCTCTTCCAGAATAAAAACAAAAAAATAAACTGTAAGTAGACAGTAATATATCTAACATTTATTGACTGATTTGTATTTGGCTGGTACTGTGGTAAATGTTTTCAATACACAAACTTGTTTAATTCTTGCAAGACATTTATGATACACATATTATTATTCTTTCTGTATAGAAGAGGAAATGTGGTTTATAGGAGTTTGAACATCTGTCTCAATTCATTCTGCTAACTACTATCTGAAAGGTGGGATTTCATCTTTTCATTTTCATCTCTGACATCAGTCCAACATGACAACTTCTCCACAATAAAGCACTGTGGTTCTGGTCCCTCCAGGGGCTGTATTATAAATTATGTGAGAAGAAATGAGTTGGATGGTTCAGAGATGTGGCTCCTTGATGACTTGTGTACAGAAACTATACTTTTTTCTTCCATTTACAGTTTAGATAAATGATTCCACCATTCCTCCAGTTGGCTCAACCTTGACTTTTCTTCCTCAGCCTTATTTCCCTGCATACAATCAATGATCAATCTTATCAATTCAAATTCTTTAGTTTGCCATAGCCACACATATCTCTATGTTTGCTGCCATCTTAATGCAGAACACCTTTATTTCCTGTCTATGGCAAACCTCCTAATAGGTCTCTGTTTCATTTTACTGTTTCTGAACATTCCCCACAAGTAACCAGAATAATTGACCTTTCTAAAATACATATATATGTTTCCATGTAGTGAAGCACACTTGTCAAGATAAGATCTATATTTTACATGACACACGAAATCACTTTATGTTGGAAAATCTTATCATAATGAAATATGTACAAAGCCACATGCACACACAGCTAATGTACCTGGATCTTTACCTATACCATTTCTTCTGCTTGGAATACTCTCTACTTTTGCCTTTTTCACCTGTCCTTCAATCCTAGTTAAGATATTTTGTCTTTGTTGATTATCCAAAATTAAGTGTGCTGCCCACTTGGAGTTATTTGTCATATTGTACTCTAACTGTGGTTCACCTGTCTCCCCAGGACATGAGGAGAAACTTAAGGAAGATCCACAACGTGTTCTCCTTCATAAACCTACACCCACCACAGTACTAGGGAGACAGTAGGTGTCAAGCACATGGTATAATGAAGGAAGATAGAAAAGAAAAATGAAAAGAGAAAGGGATAGATATAAAAAGATGAATGATAAAAGGAGGGGGACAAGGAAGAATGGAGAAAAAGAACAGAGAGGACAGAAAAAGGAAGAAAGAGAGAGAGGTGAGAATGGAGAGAAAAAAAAGGAAAAAGAGAGGAAGGAGGAGAGAAAGCAAGAAGGAAAATGTAAAGAGGAAAGGAAAATAGAAAAAAATCATTGGGAATTACAGAGAAGTGGAGAACATTCTATTTGAAATATCTGGGAGGCCCTAAACATGCTCAGTGCCTCAGTGACTGGCCATCCTTTGGAAATGCAGACTATGCAGTAGTCAAGGAGTCTTGGTGTAAAAAAAAAAATTAATGTAAACTAAAAAGAATCATAATAATTGAGCTCAGCTTCCTCTTATAATTGAGAAAACTGGGTCAAGGACATGAGGATGTAACTTGTTCAACAGAAGGAGCCTAAGAGACAAACACCGCCTGGGATGATCTCAAAATCCAGTGTTCACACCAGCCTTCCCAGAGACACAAATGAGTCAGTGATGACAGGAGCAGGCTGGGGGCCTAGGGCTTTTGGTTCCTGATTTGGGGCTGTGCATACTGCAATTCTGTGTACTTTTTTTCTTTTTTCCTAACGTACTTAATGCAATGAAATTCACTGTTCAGGCAGGTATAAACAAGGCAACAAGGGACCTCCCTGGTGGCTCAAGGGATTAAGCACAGCACTATGAAGCTCTCCGCTACCTCTGCAGTACAAGTTCGATCCCCAGCGTAGGCAGGGAGCTAACCCACATGGCACAGCAGACCTCTATTGTCTCGCTCGCTGCTCCCCTCAGCAGTGTACTTCAGTCAGTCTGCCTGTTCTGTTCCCCACTCTGTCTCCGGTGAATCCTCTCAACCCCCACACCTCTGGCCCGTACCCCAGTTCTTGAATGCATAAATAAGTAAATCTAAAAAAAAGTAGGCAACAAAATAATTTGTAGTATCTGAGTAATTTGTAGTAAGACAAAAGAATATTTGAGTTCCTTGTTACTGGAGTTAATCATCTAAGAAGCTCTAAACATTTCCTCACTGTACATTGGCCACATGTCCTCTCTTTTGGAAAGGTCCTGCTGCCCATTTCTATTTTTTTAAATGCTTTGCATCTTTTTGAGGTTTTGTTCAAATACTTTTTTCCTCTCCAAGACCTGCTTCAGTGTCCATGACAGGAAATAATCGTTCTCTCTTCTTTGCCCTAATGATACTTGGTTCATTTCATTCTGACATATGAATCAGCCTTTTTCAGAGCTTCATGTGTATATCTCTTCCTCACTAAATGTACACTTGAGGAGGGTAGAACCCATTCTTGCTGCATCTTTGCCTCCTCTGGCAGGATAGTACAGCACTTTTATATGTCACACATTTCATGTATGTTGTGTGTTGAACAACAAAATCTATTTTCCAACTCTCAAGCCTACATCATTCTAAAAAGCCAACAAAGCTAGAAATTCATAATAGTTGTTTGTTAAAATTGTCCATAGCTATGTTTTTTTTTTTAAAAGCACTTTTATTGTGCCAACTTTTATCTAACAGTTGGTTAAAATGAGCTAAAATAAATGACCAAAGGTGATAAATGAAAGAGGAAGGAAGCAAGGAAGGAGAGCAATGTAATTAATTTGGGAGTATTGGAACCTTCAAATTTATGATAAAGTATGATTTCACATGCTGGTCAATTGAAGAAGCAATTATTGTGAGAGATCACTATCCCTTTAAACATTGGCAAGTTAAGAGATTGTTGAAAGAGAAGGGGGTCTCATTTGTTAAAGGGCTTTTCTTTTCATTGGAGACTTCTTCAGGAATATTTATAGCAAAACTAACCAAGTATGAAAATAAGAAAGAACCTTAGAGATACTCAGTAAGTCTTGACCAAGGTTAGCAAGGATTTACAGAGCTAAATAACCCAAACTGCTCATTCCATTCATTTTAACTAGAAGTGTTCTTGCACAGAGCAGATGTTAAATTGGTCTGATGGACTGAAATGAAAGCAAGAAGCCACTATAAATTCTGGGACTCCCAATCTCTCTCAGCAAGGTTTGGCCCTTTCTAAGCTTCCATTTCTTATCAAGTAAAGTCAGCAATTCCATCAGTGTAAGCAGAAAGATTTTCAAATTGTTTTATAAAGTCTCTTAACAATGTTTTTTGATGAGATTTTGCATATTTTAAAGACATAGTTTTAAGTGGGCTCAAGTTCTAGCTATTTCTGTAGTAATCATCTAATACTCGCAATCTAGACCTTGACAGGCTAGTGGCAGCGGACTGCTATTTACTACACTTTTCCCTAAGTGCTGTTTAAAGGGCATTTTTTTCATTCACCACTTATGTATATGGCCAAATAAAATGCATCGCTGGCCTCACACATAACAGATATTCCTTACAATAGTTCAATCCTATCACAATTTTCAGAAATATAATTTTCTAGCATGAAGAACTATTTATAACTCCATTGATTTTGAAATGCCATGTAGAAATCAAAAGAAAATTAAAAATAAGAAAAACACAGCAAAAATAATGCACATAAACAGCAAAATGCAAAGATTATTACTTTCTATTTCTAACTCCAAATTGAGAGACTAATAAATAAAACAGGGAGAAAAATAAACACACTTGCTCTCGGTTATCTTCCCTAAACTTCATAAAGGTGACATTATAATATTTATTAGGGTAAATTGTTCCCTTCAGGACAAACATCATAGAACAAATTGGGTTGCAATATACTCTTTATTTGAGTTCCTGATATATTGTTTCTTTTCCTTACCTAAACTTTCCTAAACCTTAATAATGAATAGTAGCTGATTCCCAAGATTTGATTTTTACTCTCTGATTCCTTTAGCTATGGGGAAGGCTTTTAGCCTTCAAAATTACTTTTTTCTAACTTTCTCTAGTGAGAAAAATAAAATCCTCAAATTTAAACCATTCACCCATCTCTTGTATAACAAAAAACTAAACCATCTCAAGGACAGCTCATTCTTAATAGTGAGGTTCTTAAAATCCATATCTGACCCCTATGGAACACAGTGAACAAATATTTCTCCTTTGGAATCTTTTCTCCTCCTTGGAAATGCCTTAAGACAATATGTTTCCACTGCATACCCAATTGTGTGTATGTATGTGTATATGCCTGTGTGCCTTGTGTTTGATTACGAAATGTCTTAGATCATCACCATTCTTTAAAAAAGTCTGTCAGGCTTCTCTTTGCAATTTGTCTTTAAGAGAAATGATGTTACTGGAACACTATTCAACTTGTAAATGCAGAAAAGAAAGATGTGACTTTTTGAACAGCTCAGTAACAGTAATTATGTAATTCCCTTTGTGTGAATATACCTATATAATTAAAGAGGGATTAGTCAGCTAACTCATCTGTAAAATGGGATGGTAACTATACCCACCTGCTAGGTTAGCTATGAGGATTAAGTGAGGGAATAACACCTAGATGCAGTAAGCAGTATGTAAGAAGTAAGACCATACATGTGGGCAATTATTTCTGTCACTAGTCCTAATAAAAGAACTGAGGCAGTGAGGCTTATTAATTGAGGTAGGCTTGGGTCAGAAAAAGAACTTGCTGACTTCTTACCTCCAGAGAATCGTCGGCATTTACCATCCAACAGTCTGTCCAGGTGGCCACAACCAAGAAGCCAGTAGAAAAAAGCGCAAAGAAGCAGGCGACGTACTGAAGAAGATCCCTCATCTTAGCGAGCAGCCTGCCTGGAAGGGGCACGCGGGCAGCCGAGGTCCCAGGCCCACTCAGGTATCTGGAATGCCGTCAATCTTCTGTGCTTCTGGAACGTGGGGGTGCGGGAATGCTACTTCTTTACTTTTCCCCACAACCCGCTGCAGGCGTCTTAAAATGCGGTAAGAGTCATAGGCACAGGCTGTTACCCACGAAGGGGTCCTGGAGGTCATTATCCGAAGCAACCAGCCTCCAATCAGAAGCCAGGGCAGGGAAAGGATTGAGTATGTTTGGGTGGGGGAGAAAGCAGCCCTGGTAACGTTTTCGGCCCAGACTGTGGGTTTATGAGAGATGATGGTCTCCGAGGCACGTGCCAGTACCAAGATGGAGAGAAGTAAGAAGGGCGACTCCGCATGTTGACGCTGTAAACTGATCTTTCTCAGGCCCTCCAGGGAAAGTGAGCTATTTGCCTCCCCCTCAGTAAGGAGGCTACACGGTTGACTGAGTGCTATTTTATTATTAGGACTATTTTAATATTCCCTGACTACCTTAGACAGACAGGCCACTGGTGAAACTATGCTAAACAAGTGCTTGCTCAAGGGAGTTTGCATTCCAAAGTGTTGGACAGAACAGCCTCATGAAGGGTTTCCTGCACCTGGGCCCCAGCTAGAGCCAGGACACCTAACCTTTTGACACTAAAGAGTGGGGGAAAGTGTGCATTTTAATCTGCACAACTGTGGGTATAAATCCCTGCTCTGAAACTTATAGGCCGAGGGCACTTGGGTTCTAGTTTTTGTAAAATACGAGTGTTAATACCTTCTTACTAAGATGTTTATAAGAACTGAGTAGTATGGTGTCTGTAAATCATTTAGTTTGGTGTCTGAAAAAAAATTTTAAAAAGCTAAATGGTTAATATTAACATCCAAGAGTTCCCTATGTAAAATTACTTTTCCCTCAAGGACCAATATTTGAAAATATGTCTCAAAAATACTGGGTATGTTTTTTTAAAAGGATATTTATTTTCAAAAGGTTTGTGATATAGCAGGGACAATTGTTATTTTGCCCATAAGTAAATAGTAGCTTTATTGTGTATAAATATTCCATAGCCAGCAGCTTTTTAAAATACTTAAAAGAAGATATATACCACCATCTTGTCATCATTAGAGTTCTCTCTACTAACATGCAAATTATAATTGACAATAATAAACAGTATTTACAAAGTTTTTAATACAAGAGAGTGAAAAAGGTGTATAGAGAGAGGAGGGAAAGGGTTAGAAATAGGTCATTATTCTGGGAAGAATCAACTACTAAGATAGTTATTTTAGTAACAGTTAATGAGAAATTACTTTTGATTTAATTATGATTAGATTTAGGGTATGAGGCTAAAATCAATATACATAAAAACTCCTTCAAGAATATATAAAAATAAAAACGATTTGTGACGAAAATTTCTTCTTTTTGAATTTTAATTGTAGTCAAAAATATAAAATGTAAATGAAAACATAAAAGCTGCATATAAAACCGTTTGTGGACTATAAGTCCAATTATGTCATAAATAAGGATATACATATATATGCACACACATATATCATCTCCTTTGTGGGGTTCTTTTCAACTTATTTTATTTCACTTAACAACTGGGAATTTTTTTTTAAAGCGCTCATTCAAAGAATGGAATTACCTATTAGTATAAGGCAGTGTGAATGCATGCATGCTGCTTTGGTGAGTCACAAGTGAATCTTTCCCTGTTCTCTGAAATCTAAAATACTCATGCTCTATTGACCTGGGAGAGGAAACCAATTCCAAAAGCACATGCCCATTACAGGAAAAGTCCCAAGCTTAACTGCTAGTTTTCCACTCAGGGAGACCTTTCATAAAGTAATTTTCCTGCTAAAAGTGCACACCTGGGTAATAGCTCTTAAACTTGAATGCACAGTGCACTTACCAAAGCCACTTGCTATAAATGCAAATCTTGGAACTCCACCCTCAGATCTGCATTAAGGAAATTGGGAATGGGTGCCATTAGTACACATTTCATATATGTCTTATATGAAATTCTAATTCAGAAACAAATGACCATGCTTGGAGAAACTAGGAAGAAGAGAAGTCAGCATTGAAACCAGCATATTGTTTTTCAGCTACTGCAGAAAAACTGTGGGAAGGCAGATATTAGGATTCCATCTTTGGTACAAACGCTTCCCTAACCAGTACCAATAGCAGGTCCCAAATGCAAATATCAGTACTTAACAGAGGGGATTAAGGAGGGAAAAAGAAAAATGAGCTCACATGCAAACATACACACAATCTGAGACTCTTCCACAAGAAAAGATTAGACTGTGACTTAATTTATATTATTCCCCATTTTGTACTACTGCACATGTTTGAGGGTTGGGTCACTACAGAACTGTTCCTGATCAAAGTTTACTTCTTTTAGAGAATAACATAAGACAGTCGTGCTTACCTATTCATTTTTGTCCTTGGAGCTATGGTGAGTTAAGCTATTGTAGGGGCAGGAAGGGCACAGGGCAGGATCTCTATGATCCTATGCAGTAGGGTGAAGGAGAGAGTTCTGGAGCCCTCAGTGGCCTTTTCAGGCTTTTATTGGGATTTACCAGGTACACGGCAGGCAGGGGTGCTGGGGAGCCAGGAGGCTGGCAGGCCTCCCAGACCCCAGCAAATCTTCACTCTTTCTGGGCTCTCCAGCAATCTCTTGTGGTCTCCACTTCTTTGCTGGTTCTCTTACGGTCTCTCGCTTATTCTCCTTCTGGTGTTCTGCTGGTTCTCCATGACGCCACTCTTATAAGCTTCCTCTCAGCCCAGGTGAACCCACCTACATACACCCACATCCTACTCCAGGTGCCCGCCATCAGGCATGCATTCAAGACTGCAGGGATCCATCATCAATCCTAATAGCGAGAGGGCAGAAAAGCCTGACAATTATTTACCCTACAGTGATCCAAGAAAGGAGAACCCTGAAGACTAACAGAGTAGAAGAACTGTATGAGGAGGACCTTAGTACCTTTGAAGAAAGGTAAACTTGTGGGTAGCTGTGAGGATGCAAGGGTGCTATGCTCCAATATTTAGCTTCATCAACTCAGTTTAGTTCCAGTCCATGCAGCAGACATTTACGGACAGGCTACTCTGACTCCAATACGATGCTGGGTTCCTAAACAGAGAGAAAATAGAAGATGGAAGACATGGTGGCTATTGAGATGCTGCTGTGAGTGAGCCAGAGGCAGGCATTTGCTAGGAAGTAAAGACCTCCATTTGGATACCTTAAGTGGTACCACTCCTAATATTAGTGCTGGAGCACATTAGTTAGAAATATGCAAGGTTCCCGAAGCAGCATAAACACAGAGGACAATTACTATTCAGTGTACAGCTCAGTAGTATTTGCAAAACATTTTCAAGTACATTATCTCATCTAAGCTCTCTGAAGACAGACAGCTTTGTTATGTTCACGAATGAATCTCAAGTACCTAAATTCCAGCTGGCATATCATAGGCTCTCAATAAATATATGTTGAATTTAGTTGCATCCTTATGGTCTCCACATTTTATAAAAGAGGAAGTCATGGTGGACTTGCTCTTTTTGAACCAAGATCCCCCTGGATAGACACTAGGCTAATAGATGTGACTGATATGCGCAGTTTCATATCTCTTGTTTTGCACAATCCCTAAGACAATCATTTCAGTCCATTCATGTACACTGTGCTCCAACTGGCCCAGGGCTTGTGCTGTTTCTGGCTGAAGCTTTAGAGACACCTGGTGATGAGAAGAGTGGTGCCCTCAACCTGGCAGTCTGGCAACAGCTGTGTGAAAGGATTTAAAAACTGGAAATACTGCTATTGTTCATTTGACCTGTAGGTGGCATCAGCTCTGCGTTTTCAGTTGAGCACAACTGCAGATTGTTTTTGTGTTAACTGCTCTTTCTGTTAATGTCACAAACTGTTACCCTCTATATTCATTACAATATTACAAGTACTTAGATGGACTAAGAGGGTTCATACCATTTCTTATGAATGATTTTCTCCCTCTTAATTTCTCAGCGCTTAGTGGAAAAACCTACACAATAAAATTAACTGCTGTTGTCAGAGGCCATACTGGCTATAACTGACGGCAAAATAAATCAGTGGTTGAAAGCTCAGACTTCAGAATCAGAGAGACTTGAGTTCAGGCTAATCAACCAAACATATTGAGATCTTGGGCAAGCTACATAAGAGTTTACTTGATAAAATGAGAGTTATGTATTGTCTATGGTGGCTATAAAATTCTTGTAGCCCCTGGAATATAATAAACAATCAATAAATTAAAGTTCTTTTTTTTAAAGATTTATTTTTTTATTTATGCAATAGCTGGGGTTCAGGCCAGAGGCATGGGAGGGTGAGAGGATTCACCAGAGACAGAGCATGGAGCAGAACAAGCAAACAGACTGAAAGCATTGCTGAGGGGAGCAGTGGGTGTGACAGGAGAGGTCTGCTGCACCATGTGGGAATCTCCCTGGCTGGCTGGGAATTGAACCCACTCTGCAGAGGCTGTGGACAGTTTCACATTGCTGTGCTCAACCCGCTACACCACTGGGGAAGCCCAAAGTTCTTATTATTTTTATGTTACAACATTGCTTTTCTACATATGTGCTCTATATACATGCGTTATGTGTGCATACACATATACATCGATGTGTAAATGCTTATAAACATATGTTGTGTCTGTGTCTATGATATATGCATGTATACATAAAACAATTTAGTCAATTAAACATACAGGAAATAAAAGATCTAATCAGAAGCAATTTTTATTGGTCTTCTGTGATTCTTTTAGAGTCATCTGACTGAGTCAATTCCTCCCCTGTCCTTTGGATAAAATCTAAGGTGAATTCTAAGACATTTCTGTCATTCCTAGGTATTATAAATGCTTCCAGTCATTTTTAACACAATGATATAGCCTCATTCCAGGGATGCCAAAATTTGTACTTTGTAGAGAGTCCAGTCCTATTGTAGCCACTTCATCATCACATGGGACTCAGAGCAGTGCCCCTGCCAGTCTCTGCCTGTAGGTTTCTTAGGCCAAGATGTCCCACAGTCTATTGTGTCTCTTAGAACCAGGAGCCAAACACCAGGCAGATGAGTTGAAATTCCTTTCCTCAAGCTTAAAGTGAAGTACAAACCTCTCACCCCTCCTCTATGATAACAGGAAGGGAGATTCAATACATACTCAATACTAAAAGCTCTGCTAATATTTATTTCCTTTTTTGGAGTTACTTTTATGGGGAAGGGGGAAGGGCAGAGATAGCTGAATTGTAAAACTGACTGTAAGACAACTTTTGCCACTCCTGCTGCAGAGCTCATTTTGGAATAGGGCAGTCTTGAGAATTCCCACCACCAGGTGCAGCAGACCTCTCCTGTCTTACCCACTGCTCCCCTCAGCAGTGTATTTCAGTCACTGCCTGTTCTATTCTCCACTCTCTCTGGTGAATCCTCTCACCCTCCGCATTTCTGGCCTGTACCCCAGTTCTTATATGCATAAATAAGTAAATCTTAAAAAAAAAAAAAGAATTCCCACCACCAGTTCACCAGTGCACCATCATTATAGTCCCTTGTTTTGATCCCTCTCCTTTCCCCTCCCCCTTCAGAATGTCTCTGATTTATAGTTGCCTATGAATTTTGTTTTGTTTTTATTATTATTATTATTTTTCCCCTGATCCCTTATTTGGTTCCCCTATATTCCTCCTTTAAGTGAAGCCATACGTTATTTTTCATTTTCTTTCTGACTTATTTCACTGAGCATAATCCCTTCTAGCTCCATCCATGTTGCTGCAAATGGCATTAGTTTATCTTTTTGATTACTGAATAGTATTCCATTGCGTATATATTTCACATCTTGTAGAAGACATTCTTATATACAGTCAGATTGTGTCTTTATCACTGTCCCTGTGCTCACTTCTCCAATTCAATTGTTTAGTTGAAATATTCTTAACTCAGTTTGCCAGGAAGGAAAGTGCACAGAGACAGCCCTATGTTAAACAGTAGATTACTTCAAGTTACATTCAGTACACTAGTGCTAAATAAGGGCCTAAAGGCAGAATAACAAATCTGAGATAAAGAAATATGTGTTCTGTTATATTCATAGTTTAATATATCTTTGTATTTTATTCCATCATGGTTCACCCAAAGCATGTTTGATGGTTTAATTGTATTGTTCCATGAGTGGAAAATGAAGGTGGAGTGGCAAGTTATGATCACATCACAGAAGATCGTCAATTCCAAATTGAGGATATGAATTAACTTGCCATTCATTGAGAGTCCTGAAAGTTTTTCTACACCTACACATCCAGCAGTATTTTCATGATCAATCTTGAGCTGGAAAAGCAGTAGGAAATGAGAAGAAAACAGGAATTCAAAAAAAAGGTGGTTTAGAAGGGGCACTTCACCACTACGTGTCCATATTCTGTGCTGTGATCCAAGAAGATGATCATTGCTAGAAGCACAAATACTGGTCCTTTCCTGACATATACCCTTGCTAATGAATCAGGAATAACCCACACACAAACTCTTAAATCCATTTATCCCAAAGCACATAGCCTTCAGGATGCCTTTTTTCAGAAATCATTTTGCTAGTAATGCTGGATGAATTTTATCTTTCCTAATGTTTTCTCTATATACCTTGTGATGGCAATTTGATTGGATTCCAGGATGCCCAAATATTTGCTCAAACATTACTCTGGATGTTTCTGTGAGGGCAATTTTGGTGAGATTAATTAAATAAGTGAATTGAATAAAGTAGATTACCCTCCCTAATATGCATGGACCCCATTCATTCCTCAAAAGCCTGAATTCCTACTACCAGGACTGCCCTTGAACTAGGACATTGCCTTTGTTCTTCCCTTCACAGTTGAACTGAAACATTTCTTCTTCTTGGGTTTGGAGCCCCCGAGTCATCAGATGGGAACTACATCATTGGCTCTCCTTGATCTCACACCATTGAACTGTGAACCTAGTTCTCCTTAGTCACCAGCTAACCTAACTCTCCCTATAAACCTTAGGAAGTGACTTGCCAACCTTCAGAATCCAGTGAGCCAATTACTTGGAATGCATGAATGAATCCCTCATCCTTTAACTCCTGACTAATATATATCTTATAAGACAATAATATGTCATCCATTCTTTGTTCATCCAATTCTTTTCAGTAGAACTCCTATGCTAGTCATTATGCCATTTCTTTCTTAATCTTTAGATGCTTCTGTCTTTGAACATATGATTATGCCATTTCTTCTAACTAGAATGTTTTTATTTTTCTTGTCATTTGTTAAAATTCAAAACATCAACCAAAAAGTGAACATTAGCTTCATGAAGCTGAGTTGATTAATTTACTTTCTCTATCTATTGACATGTAATCAACAACGACATAGTTTAGCATTTCATCATTTCAAATTTTCTAAGTGTTTGCTTGATATCTCCAGATATTTCTATTAGTCAATAACAACAAAAACAGATTCACCAATAGAATGTGTCAGGCACAGGGTCAGGCACTTAACGTCCAAATTTTAGTAAGATAGGATTCAACAAATTTGTAGTTAAGTAAGAGGATAGATAGATAGATAGATAGAATGATGAATAGATACTGCGATGAAATATGTGCTTCTGAAAAAATACTTTAGAAGTGTAAATGATACAGTGATTAATATCTCTGGGAAATAATTACAAAAAGATTCATGGAAGAGATTATGCTTGATTTGGCTTTAATTGATAAGAATTTGCTAATCAGACAGGAGTGTTCCTGACTAGGGAAACATCTTGAGTCAAGGAGTGTGAATGGTGTATCACTTCACTGAGTACCAAATGTGTGACAAGCATCATATAACTTGGAAACAACTTGGGAGCAGGGATACTATTTTTCAAATTTTATTTTATGATATGTTCTACTTGTACTTTAAATACCCAGCAACACTAACTATTGTGATTGTGTCCTTGCAGAAGCCTGTGTGCTAAGTGATTTGTTTGCTTAAGAATTCAAACCCCATGGATATAGGGACTGTGCAGTTAGCTTTATTAAATGCTCGTCTTCAATAAATCTCTGTGTTGAGTAAAGAAATAAATGAATGACTTAGTTCTATGTGCCATTCAGTGTTCTAGGCACTAGAATCCTATCATATCAAAGAACAAAATAT